TGGGATGTTATTTCTTTTCGGGCTTAACTATGGAGTCCTAAAGATATCTGTGGTTTGTTTAGTCTTTTGAGCCTCATTTCAGTTTAGCAAAAATAATGAAAGCGTGTTTTCAGCAGACAGTAACCATAAAACCCTCTTGGTTTCAACTAGCCCAGTTTTTCTTAGTAATTGACTTGTCCTGTATACTAACAAAGAAAATCTAAGAAGAAAATTTAAGTCCATTCTATGTTAAAAGCCAGGAGAGGGTCTTTTTGTGATGCAGATCAAATGAAATTTTATCAGAGTTAATTTCACGAGTGACGTTATAGAGCTTGATTTCGCTAGGGGTTCTTATTTCAGCTGATTTGTATTATTCTCGTTTGGGTGTCAATGCTCATGCTTCAATTTGGTATTTAAGTCCTTATGTGCTTCTTTGATGCCATTGGGAATAATAGAGAAGAAGGAATTCTGTAGTTTGGGCTTCTGCACGAAAGTGGGGGTCCCTTGACTCTGATGGGGGAATTTAATTGCTTCGGATCGGGATTATCGTGCTTATTTCTTATGCTGTTTCCATGCTGTTCTCCTCTCCCGTTCCTCCCTCCCCTTTGGGATCGAGTGTAGCGTGTTTTTTCAAACTCTTGTTGATTAAATTGTTTTAGACTGGGGCCTATTTACATTACGGGATTCAGTTCAAAGTTCTTTCTATTTTTCGTTTAGGAAAGACAAGGCTCCTTATTCAATCGTGTTTTCTTTTCCCCTCTCATATCTTAGGTATCTAAGGTAGGACTGGTAAATCGGCTCCCTGGTGGGGAAAGTGGAACTTTTAATCCATAACTTTAAGCTGATTGGGTTAGGTGAAGCAACTTGTGCCGATGCACCGCAGCCCAACGTTGCTTCCTGTGATGAGGGAATGTGGCCTCAAGACCTGATTTGATGAGGGATGTGGCAATGTCTTCTGAGAGAGCTGGTCTATTAATGATCAATTAATGGAACGCATTTGTTGATGTTTTTTAAAACGAGTAAGAAATTTACTGGGGCTCTGCTATAAAATATTGTCTCAGCTAAATCATAAGTAAGCCTATTCTTTTCTATATGACTTCATTTTTTCAAGGTTTGCAATTTAGCAATGCTTTGTCTTTATCATAAATGAACAATAAATAGTAACTTTGGTTTTTTGATCCTTCTCCTGTTTTTTGAAAACTTTCCAAACTCTGATGAAGAAATCTTTCAATTAGCAACAACAGTTTTTAAATATGAATAGTCCCCCCACTTTTTCAGAAAGTCGGTCCTTGAGATTCTTGCAAACCGGATGAGAAAACTTCGGGGGGGGGGGGGGGGGTTGTAAGTTATCTAGATCGTCACATTCAAATGACATTTCTTGGGAGACAAGAGTTGTATCCTCCACAAGAAAATGTTGCAATCAGGGGAAAGGGCGTGGTCCACAAGGGCGTGGTCCACGACACACCTTTTGTCCCCCCCCTATTTATCCCAGGCCGGAGCCGCCACTGGAATGAAGTAGTGTGAATAAATAACTGCATGTCTATTTCTGCAGTACATACAATATTTAGCACTATGGCCATCCTCTCTGTAACTTTTAAAAACTGTCATTTATACACAAGTATGGTAAAATAAACTAGACTAGCAAACCTTCAATTTGGGAGTAATGTTTTCTTCTATCTTTTCTTTCCTTTCCTTTGCAAGTTGAGTTCTTATAAATTCCTGCTCTTCCTTTAGCAGCTTTGAGCCTTCTTCTCTGAGCCGTCTTATCTTTGAAGGAAAAAAATGCAGAATAAGTAGAATAGATGGAAGTTGAATTGGTTATCTGTAAACAAAAAATCTTATCATAAAGTAGAGGTCTTAGGCTGTAAATTTCCTGGAGCTATGTATAGTGGAATATTGAAAGAAACTTAAAGTAATACCTCTTCTTCCAAATCGTGTTTTGCCTTAGCACCATCTTCTTTTTCTTGGCTGGCGGATGCCTCTCTTGCCTCAAGATCTTAATGAAAAGAGATTCATCATCATGCAATAAGTGAAATTTCCTTGTTTTTGAGAGATCATTATTTCCAGAACCAAATTTCCATATTTCCATAACCAAATTTCAATTGAAAAGTTTTGGATGGATTATCTGTCATAAAAAGTATGTCAGAGGGTGAAAATCTAATACTATTGTACTTATTCAATATTTCAAATTACTGTTTGTGTTTAGCAAAGGATTAATGCAAAATTTTTAGCTGAAACCTTATACCAATGGCCCTTGCTGCAATTGGATATGATGCAGTTTATAAACTGGTAAGTTTGCTTTTCAAGATTGGTTGGTGTTGTCTTGTCTCCTTCAATTGATTTACATTTTGCTGCTGGTATGCTGTAGAAACTTGCAAAGAAGATCTAACAGTGATCTCGTATAGACAAATGTACTATTGACACAAAAGCAATACTAATTAATATACACTATATCATTTTTATTCATTCATACTGCCACAGCACAAAGATGAAAATATAGTATAAAAATACAGTATTAGCAAAAGACTCAATTTTACTTTGTTATAAAAAACTTGCCTTGCTTAAATTTTTTCCTCTTAGCATCTAGTGCCTGAGTCCTCAACCTAGCAAGCTCTTTTGCCTTTAGAACAGCATCATAAGCTGCCTATTAGAAAAATGTACAGAAAGTTATCAATAAAAACAAAGATATGTTCAACTGAATAGGCTAACTGCAACTTGATAAGTACCCTAACTTGAATTCAAGCCTGAAAAATTGTGTTCATTTTATAATGGAAAGCACCATCAGTATTGATACCTAAATATCCAATGCATGATAATTGGTATAGAGCTTGACTCTATCGAATCTTTGGCATTACCTGACCTATATACAATCTGGTGTTTGCTACTTCACACTTTAGTAGACAGTACCTTATTACACGAAAATAACCCAGCCCATTAATTAACGCAAATTGAAAAATTCTGTGTTAATTAAAACCCTGTTAATTTCATGACCAAATAAATTTCTCATCCGTTATCAAATGTCTATCAATAAATAAGCATCCATTCATTTCATCCCAATTCAAAATTACTGAAAATAACCAGATTTTTCAGCTATATCTTCACTATACATTACTTTACTTTACTATATCTGAAAATAAGGAAAACAGAAAGCGTCCAAAACATAAGGATGGGAAAGTGCCCTTTTCATAAGTTCTATCAAAAATAAAACACCTTTTCCTACTTTTCCTACAACTGTTTCCCCCTGAAATTTCACATCTTCATCACATCATCTTCATCTTGCTCAATCCCTAGTACTTTTCAAGCCACCAAATTACTCTCTAGTCAGAGGATACTTGACCTCTTTCACTTAACGTCTAAAATTGACAATTGTTCAGTCTCAAACAACATGAGTGCTACCTTTATTGGAATCTCAAGTCCACCTTGAAGCTTTTTTGTCACTTTTTTTTTGTTTTTCTTCTGTGCTTAATTTGAATGTGTTTTAGTTAAAAAAAGTTTTGTTGACATTGATAATTTTTGTTAATTAAATACCATTCAATATTTGGATTTGGTTGACTTGCATTAATTACCACACATTTTGAAATCCAATCTCACAATTCGTATAAATTTGTGTTCGCAATTAGTTTTGCGCTATTTGGTCTACCCCAGTATTTTCGTGTAATAAGGTATATCATGCCAGCACTACTTTGCATAGTTCTTCAGCATTAAAAAAAATACATAAACTAAGATAGTATTTACAGATTGACTTAAGAGATAATAAATGGAAAATACTTAAAATTGGTACAAATAGATTGGAAAATTAGAGCATAGAATAAAGTCAATTCGTAAATGGATCTTCTCACAAACCTTGGCTTTTTTGTCTGTAAGAACTTTTAGAGCTTCTGATAGCTCATGGAATAAATCAGCTATGGAAAAATTAAATGTTTTCAGCCATTTAGAAACATAATAAAAAGTAACTAAATCTTTTCATATTTACTTATTAATACTTGAAGAATAATAAAGTGTTGTCCAACAACTATGATGTACAATTCATAGTCTTTCTGCTAAAATAATGATAAAAAATAAAGCATTTAAGTCCTCTCAAAATGCATTTGTAAAAAAAATTGCTGAAAGGAATTTAGATAAAATTTACTCACTCAATATTTAGTTAATACTTAAAAACATGTGACGCAAATGATTTTGTTGATACAAAATGTTGCAATAATTTTAGGTTGTAAATACTATTTTGCAAAAAAATATTGATTTACTTTATATTGATTTATTTTGGTTCAAAATAACGGAACAATCAATTGCATCAATCAGTATCCTCTCAGCTGCTCATCGTGTTGATTTAAAAGATTTGAGACATTAATTTCTAAGTTGATGCCTTCTTTAAAATCCTGGGTGCTCTTTTCCCAAATAATTGGGAAACTATTTGAGAGATTTTCTCTTTTAAATGATTCACACCACAACATATATATGTATCTATGTTTTAGTTATTATCCTGCAATAACTTATGTTGCCTTATGTTGTATATTAAGTTTTAAAAGTATCAAATGATTTTAGTTTGTTGAGAAATGAAATTATAAAACTAAAAGAGAGCGTAATAGGCATCAAATTTCTATGATGCTGATGCAAGTTTATCTTGAGAACTTGATGTGGGTACTAAGATAAATAGATAAATACAATTATCACTTGAAAAACTTTATCTTTCTTTATTTCAAAATTTAATTGACTTCTTGTCATCATTAAGATACTCTGGGTGAAGTTAACAAAATGGACCTCAAAAGGGCACAAGATGACCACAACCATTACCTGCTTTAGGATTATCAGGATTTTTGTCAGGATGACAGAGCAATGCTTTTTTTCTATAGCTTTTGATTATCTAAAAGAAAATTGGAGAGTGGATTGAGAAAACTGATAACTGTTAAACCATCAATCTTTAATCACTTTTTTTACTAAAATAATTACAAGAAACAACCATATAGACAATAGTTCAATTAACAATGGATACCAGTGTTTTTAACCAATTTGCTGTGGCACACTAAGTGTGCTGTGATATATAGTCTGGTGTGCGATGGAAATTTTCTAATTTCACCCACCCAATTTTTTCTCAAAAGTTGAAAAAATTGTGTCTTTCTTCCATTATTATTTGTTCTGTGTTTATTTGAGTCTTATTCAAGACATTTTGATGAAAATTTGGAAAGATGGAAATTTTTGCCATCACATTCTTTAGATAAGTTCAAAATACACTTCAGAATATTCTTTGCAGCAATTTTCTTGCAGTTGATACAATATTACTTTGTTTCAAATGTTTCATTCTCACATTTTACTATAGTTTCCTTTCTATTATTTAACTATATTTACCTTCCCTAGACATCGAGGCCCTTAGGCAATTTGGTCCCATATCCTCCTCTCGCTCTTGGTAGCCTTTTAGATCATCCTGGAGATACTATTAGGAAGCTCGAGTTTTGACCTTTTTATTTAAATTGTCTCTTTACTTGCTAAACCTTTAGGAATTTGGATAACTACCACTGATGGTAGTGCTAAGTAATCATAGTTCATCTCTCAATCATGAAATTCCTTGAGATATATAATTAATATAAACAGGAAAAGTGCCAGACAAAATATGCACACACTCAAGAATCACTGAATAATTTGATGCACACTCAAATGTGCATCACAAATGCACTCTTGCACTCCTGGTAATAGCTTGTGCACTCCCAAGATCTCGTCAAAAATTGCCATGAAATCCAGACAGGCACACTTGGGACCCTGGTTCTGTGTGCCTAGAGCCCAGACTGGAATCCACGTATGTTGCGCCACAGATCTGTGGTGCATAGCAATCTCCAAATTTGGAACGCCAGCGTACTTTGGCTTTAAGACTGGCGTTTGGCACACTCTTGTTGCAACAACTGACGTAATTTGGCGTACATTTAATGGGTTTATGTACAGGGCTACACCTCTCGCTGTGCAGCCCTGTACGGTATTAGAGCAAGAGTGCATTTTCCAGTAAACTGAAATCACACATATTCGAAAATTTTCTTATCCTTCTGCGGCAACCATGGTGCTGCCTTGTGTAGTAGGAATATCGAGATGTTTTTTATGATAAAGGACGCATACTCACTAAGCATAAAATATTGAGCAAATAAATTCTAATTTTTCATACACACAGTAAAAATGTATTTGTTCGATTCATTGATTAATTTTTTAAAGTCCAAGAGGCAAAGCTTATGCCTCGTATATACCTGGGCCTGAGGCCCTAAAAATGTCAATGCGACACTGTTTGCGTAAAGTGGTGGATGGAGTGGAGTACCGGCGCTACTTGGCGGATAATGGATTATCTATGGCGTACATGGTGTACCAGGTTCATACTTTCCAGTATGGGCCTAGAGCTCCTTCGGACAGAAAACGGTGTAGCATAAGAATTATCCTTTTAAGCTCCCTACATAATCATCATTGTTTAAAGACGAAAGAAATAAAAGTTCACCTCCTTTTCATTACTTTCTCGGGTTACTCCAAGAATCTCGTAGTAATTTATTTGGCTTGATTTGCCCGCCATTTTTTGTAAGCGGTAGTCTTAACCTCTATCTCAACGACAGTACTACAAACGAGACTTGTGTGAAATGGCCGAATGACCATAAGGCAAATGAAAGCAAGGTTGTATACAGTTTACTTAAATTGTGAAACGTGATTGCATACATTTTTATTTCAATAGTGTCAATTAATTCTTTACAGAAATGAGTGTTGCACAGATGCCTGGTGCCCAGATGGAGAGTGGCCAGGTAGGTAATTAGCTTCTTTAAATCCAATTTATTTTTGGCTCAGTTAAAGGGTAGAATGAGCGTTTTTTTCTAGGCCAGACCCTTGTCAGTAGGTAAGACGCTTAATGCCAAGACTTTAAACTCTGGAAAAAATATAGGCCATTGCGCCAAAGGAATCCAAACTGGCTCTAAAGTCTGAGGCCAGTTTTTCGGCCTAAACGTGCATGGTTTAACCAAGATGTAGTCGTACAAGTTTAACAAAAGGGAGCTCAATGAAATATCTAAGTTGTTCTGGTCATGTAATCTTGCAAATTAAATACGACGAGGGTTCATGTTTTTCCAATCATTTGTTGAAAAGTCAGGAACATTGACTGATTGAGCAGCAGCTAAGATCTGATCCAGCCTACCAACCATGGTAGGCTGGGTGCAAACTTCGTTGAAAGTGAGGGGGCAAAATGTTTATATTTCTCAGGGAATTAGTGAAAACTGCCACCATGGTTGGCAGCAAGAAAAAGATTGGGATATGACATTATAAGGATGGCCTGAAAATGCATCCTAGGTAGACTCGCATTGCCTTTAATCATTATGACCTATTGGTTAAATCTTTAATTGGCACATTTTCTCTCATTTAACAAAACACAGCAGCTCTTATCAGCTAATGAACAATGCTACCTAAAATATCATGCAAAAACTGTTATTCAGTTGACTTAGAAAGTATTCCTAGTTTGCAGAATAGATACTCCATTAACACTGTTAAGAACACCAGAGCCTGAAATTATCCATAAATAAGAACATTAGGTTTCTGCAAAAGTAGAAAAATTAGGTGTCTGCAAAAGAGTGTAGTGCATCATATGTTAAAAATAGGCGATTACAAAGTCCAATATTATCAATGTTGTTGATGCAGGCAATTAACCCCAGTTCTAAATGCAACAATAAAACACCAACTGTCTATACAAAACTGCAAGTAAAATAATCAGTTAATGGCAAGTGCACACACGGTATATATATTACAGCAGTTGTTTGCTATTTGGTAGTAGTGATCTGCTTTACTGTTTTTTCTTTAAATTGATCAATATCAATGTCTAGACTTTAAAGAGTTTATCACTTTTCAGATTAAAGCATTTCTATCTACATATAACAAACTGGCAGAGCAGTGTTTTGTAGACTGTGTGCATGATTTCACCAGTAGAACAGTTACAGGAAATGAGGTAAGTATTTATTCCATAAATCCAGTCTTTTGGGTCCATCAGATCGGCTCATTTATCAACAGGCCTTAATAGGCTTGATTGCATTTGGTTTGTATTACCATGTGATAAACTGTATGCAACATGCTTGGATTTGCTTTCAGTGAGAATGGAAGATGACCTTTGATGTTGAAACCATTTGCTTCGGTTTTTCTATTTGTCACTAAGAATTGAAATGATAAAATTTTCAAGTATTAAGTATCTATCTTTTGTATTTATCTGGGTTAATCATTGTACTAGTTAGAATGCCTCAAGTTGTACTTGTCTCAAGTTAAAGGCCAAACTAAGTTTTTTACCCTTGACTGCAAGGGAAGTGTCTTCTCTAGACCATCATCCCCAATAAACAGATCCACATTTCCTTTCTTTTAACTGACTTCTAAGTTACTTGTTCTGTTAGTACTTCAGTGAATATAACGATTGCCTTTGTTTCTCCCTCTAGAATAACTGTGCTATGAACTGTACAGAGAAATTTCTCAAGATGTCTCAGAGAATTGGTATACGGTTTCAGGAAATACATGAAATCAATCAGTCAGCCCTACTACAAAAATAGTTGTGGAATGTATTACAGCCCTTGACATTGCTGACTTCTTCTCTCACAAAAATTAGAATTTTTTATCTTATTATCAAGGTTGATTAGTTTTGTGAAGTGAATGTATAATGCAAGAGCTTACAGAGTCAAAATTAACTATGTAATAGATTATAAGGTATGACCTTACACAATTCTATATCAACCTACACTACAGATATAACATCTGTGTCTCACACAAATTACTATATGAAAATACATAACAACCTCTGGATATTTAATAAATGTGGTCAAAGTTTAGCAGATTTATTGGAAAAAAGTAAAATTCTTATGCATGTTGCAAGTTTTTTTTAGAAATAAATTGAAAATTTAGAATTATACTTCCTCATTAACAATCTTTCCTTTCCTTTTATTCAAAAGTTGGGCTAACAGATGTTAACTAGCATAAATTTGCATGATGGAATAAATACTAATTAATGCTTTAATCAGCAAAAAAGTGGAAATTTTAAAATAATGCTGCAAATTACAATGCATAAGAAAACAAACAAACAAATTACAATGAAAATTAGAAATCGCTTTTGCAGAAAAAAGCTGGTATAAAATCTCAAAAACCAAACAAAGCAATGAGTTAATGCAAAAATCTGGTCTTCTTATAGTGAGTTATTGAATAAAGCAATTAGAGTGAGTTCCATAATTCTTTTTATGCAGATAAGTGATAAATGTTACAATTGTTTGACACAAATTAATAAACAACCAAAAATTTTATATTTCTCGTGGTTTTAACCTGTTATCATCATCTTTAATGTACCTGTGTTAATCAATTCTTCGTGTCCACACTTTAATGATAGTTAACCTGTGGCCAGAAAATTGCTGGTATTATTTCCAACAATTGCATTAGATACATCTACATTTGCACCTATATGCCACTCTCCTTATGTGTTAATATGAGCTAATCATGATCATTTAATCACTGTCACTGGAGCTACTGCTGCTGCTGCTACTTGAGCTACTTCCAGAACTCCAGTGATGATGATGATGACCCCCACTCAGCATACTTCCTAATGCAAAGCCACCTACTGCTCCAACTGCAGCACCTGCAGCTATTTTTCCTTTGTTTCCTTTCTTCTTTTTCACTTTGACAACTTTCTGTCCAGGTGTATGAACCACTGTTGTATGTGTTGTAACCCCTGGTTGCCTTGGGTATGAACCAGGTGGTGGCACAGGCTGCCCTGGTTGATGATATCCACCAGGTGGAGGGTATCCCCCAGGTGGAGGGTATCCTCCTGGTGGAGGGTATCCCCCATGTTGTTGTGGATAGCCTGGTGCTGCCGGAGCCCCTGGTGCTCCTGGTACTCCTGGTGGTGGATAGCCCTGTGGTGGATAACCTGTGGGTGGATAGCCCTGTGATGGGTACCCTTGTGGTGGAGCTCCTGGGTATCCAGGTGGAGGATATCCTTGAGCTGGGTAATGTTGTCCTGGTTGACCATAAGGTGGGGGCTGTTGTGGGTATGGTTGTCCTCCTTGCATCACCGGGGCTGTTGCTGTTAAGAAATAAAATCTACACTCACTTATGCATAATCCAAGCTGAGTTTGAAAATGGTAGACAGAAATTTGTTTATTTTTTATCCAAAATTAGCACCTGTTAAAGCAGTTAAATTTTTTTAAAACAACAATGTTGTTGTTTTTGCTAGCTTTTTCTAGGGGTGTACCAGATATATGGAAGGCTGGATAATCCGGGGCTGGATAATCCGGAGCAGGATCCCTGACTTTTTGAAAATCCAGGTCCTGGCAGGATTTGTTTCGAAAAATCCAGCCAGTCGCCGGATTTTCCAGAATTTCAATTGCAACAAAGAAAATTTCTAGAGAAACCAGTTATAAAAGAGTAAATCCAACTAACAAAAAAAAGCAATAGAGCAAACTTGAACGTAATTCTTAAAGTTAAAAACGTCCCAAACAGCAGTTTTTCACAAGTTAAAGTCATTCAAGGTTATGATATAAGAAAAGAAACTTGTCACCACTCCTTATAAGAAGTCTTGGTTGCTTGTTTTTGTTTCCTGCTTCTGAAAAAAGCTGCTCTGAATAAACACTAGATTCTGGAGTAGACAAATATTGTTGGGCTAGCTTGGCAATGTGGGGAAGGTAGTTTTGTGGCGCTTCCATCAAATGAAAGGACTTTTTTGCATGGTATGCAAAAATATGCATGGCATTGATTTTCAAAATGGATAGTAGAAAAAGGATAGGCTCAAAAACAATCTTGAAAATAAGCCAATACGAAAGAAGGCGGGAAAATTTCATCTCAAGCGAAAAATAAGCACAGTATTTGGTTCGACCACAAAACAAGCGCCTTGAAAATAGATTTTGCATTGAAAGCGCTTGTCATCACGAAACAGGAAGACTGGATGATGGCATATTCATAAGACTGTTCTCTTCGTTCTTCTTGCTATGAATTTACTCGCAAAGAATCTCAAAACTTTTTATTACAGAAAAATCTGGTAATGACTGGATATTCTGGCTGGATTCTGAAAATCCTGATCTGGTACTCCCCTAGCTTTTTCATTTAAAAACTAACAAGAAACTACATTATATTGTGCTAAAAAAAATTGCCTTCCTGTTGCTGGCATCCATAGACCTCAAGCTTAAGAGCACTTGCACAAATATATTTTATCTTATAAAGATTAGAAGTGAAGAGGTTGTTCTGGACTGGAACACCCAGCCAGAGTCAGCCACAATTATAATTTAAGGATCTTACATGAAAGAAAGTAGGAGAGTAGGCAACTAAGATGTAGCACCCCAGAAATTACTAAAACATATGTTGTGTTGGCACAAACACCAAAAAGAGTTTAGCAAAAAGAACTTGTTAAACATGAACTGTTTGTATTGACCATTGTCAAACCTAATCATTTCATCCATTGTATCAAGTCATTTACACCATCCATCATATCTGTATCCATAGTAATGTAATCAACAACATTTTTGTAGCATCCCCTCATTTTATGTGTATACGCCCTGTATTGTAATTTGGTCAGTGAATTAATAAAGACGCAACAGTCACCCAACTTAGTTTTGTTACTGGCTTCATGTTTTCTGCACTTTGAATCGGATCATATAAACAACAGCACATTCATATAAGAATTAGGCAACAACAGAAATAAGGAACCAAACATGATCCAATCAGCCTTCCTATAAATGGTGACCATAACATGACCTATAAATGGTGACCATACTCACAAAACCTTGCATCGCAAAGCATTGCATTGAAAGCATCATAGTTCCAGGCACGCCCCCCCCCCTCCCACATCTCGGCAGGATCAATTTTGCATTTTGTCTAAATCCGATGAGAAATTGTTGGGGGAGGGGTAATATTTTGGCAACATACTTTTTGTGGTGCAGTCCTATGATTTTCAAACTGCCTTCACATAGCCATGAGTGAGTTATGGGGGATCCTTTCAGGTAAAAATTGCGTTCCTTGTTAGTAAAAGGGCGTTTTCTGGTGCTAAAAGGGGCTTGGTCTCTTGCTGGCTCTGTGTTTTCTGCACTTTAAACAAGACATAAAAAACGACAGCGCATTCGCACAAGAACTTCGTAACAACAGAAAAGAAATATAGGAATTTATGTAACACCAAAAAGCTTTTCCTGTATGTTTTAAACCACTCAACTCACCTTGCTGAGGATATGGTTTAGTTTCACTAAAAAGAAACAAAACAGAAAATTGTCAAGACATGTGAAAATGCATACTTACAATAACAATGCGTAAATAACTGAAAGAATTGGTTTTGCCTACTTTCGAAATTGAATGCGGATGCAGATTCTTATGATAAATGTGACACTCTACGTACTTATCAGCTGCGACCTGCGAGCTCATTATAAACTAACCATACATAAAATATACATAACTTCGTCAATATATGGGTCACAAAAGGTCCGAGGTGCGAGCACAAGAAGCCCTGCGTAGCTGCATGCAAGTTTTCCAGCCTGGTAACATAGGCGCAGATAACACACACCACACTCGCAGCTCTACCGTTGTGTAAAGGCAATAACAAAGATATTCTACTCGCTGTTTTTTCTTCTCACTCGCAACTCGCCCAATAACAACTCGAACCACTGAACGCAGCTCCCCCTTGCTGGTCTAGGCCAAATTCATTAACACAAGAGTGGAAATGGTTCAGAGTTAGTTGAATATTGACAAAAAGAGGAAATAGATAGAAAATTGTAACTGAAAACCGTATAAGGTATAAAAATAAAGCTTACGAGTGCACGACTGTTGTTTGATGAGACATGGCCGAACAAATTCAACGCACTTCTTCCTATGTGTTTGCTTCCTAGGCGGATGGCACTCCTCCTCCTGTTTTGAATTCGGAAAGCGGAATATGTCATCCAAAGCAAGCCTCTTTGTCATACATAATGCATCATGTGATCCTTCTAATGACGTCATTAATATGTAAAATCTATTTCTGGTGTTTCACTCGTCAAACCAGTTTTTTAAATATATATATCGAGTCAGTGTATTTAATGGTACCATCCGCTCCTCCTCTCAGCTGACATCAATTTCCATTCGAGGAAAAGTCAAAGCAGATAACAATTTCAATTTGTTTTTCACTTTCGTTTTTCTCTATTGACTGCATTGTAAACAAGCGTATTGGAAATAGAAAGTTTTATGAAAAATCGGCGATGAACGGTTTTTAGTGATACCAATATCCAGTGTGTGATATTGGCCATTTTTGAATTAAACATTTTAGCAGTTTAGTGAGAGGGGTGAAATGCTATGGTGGAATCTTGTTGTATCCACGCTGAAACCTTTGTGATTTTTTGCCTATAAATCTAATCTATCCTCTTTAAATAGCGTTAACCCAGGTTGAAAAATACTTCAATCTTCAATCTTCAATAGTTAACTCCTAAAGGCTATACAACCAATCTGGAGTAAAAAAAATTTTTTTTTAAATTTTGGAAAAGGAAAATTAACTTAGGAGTAGGAATAATACCATTTCCACCATGTCGTATTATTTATAATTACTTTTTTTCACTTCTTTTTCCTTACGATCTTAAATGACTAATATAGAAGCAGATTCGCTAGAGCCAGCTATAAAGACCCATTTCTCGTTTTGCCCATGTGTCATATCTCATATACAACATGTCATATATAAACAGTGAACTCGACTTCAGATGGGGACACTCAAAAGAGGTTTTGTCAATGGCAATTTAATTTAAAATATCTACTGTGTTATAATAATTCAAATTTTTTTCATTTTCACTTTCCTATATTATATTATCGAAATGCTTCCGAGTTTGGCTTTCTGATACAGATAGGTTGTGGTGTCTTTCTGACATATGTATATGAAGGAATGCCCAACTTAGAACTTTGCTTTATAGGATTTGCTCGGAACTGAGCCCTAGCCATTTCTTCTTCACTCTGGTGCAGCTGCTAACTGTTTCTATTTTATATAAAATCATCAGCATAGCAAAGCAACACTTTTGGTAGCCTGTGCTCCAGACCCTTAACCTGAAGGAATATCATAGGCATCCCCCCCCCCCAAATGTATTTCATTCCGACGGCACGCAACACATTACAACGCACAGTTGAGAACAACCTAGACAAAGATATCATTAGTGGTGGAACGTCTAAAATAAAATCAATCTAATCAATCTTAACCTTTTGGATTCCGGCTATTGAGCTTAAAAAGGGTTCCAACTGCCTATAAAAGGGAACTAAAAAAGATATTTCTAGTTTAAAAGTGGAAATAAACTTGTGTGTGTAGGTTCTTTCCTTAGGCCCTGGAGTCCAAACTTTGCTTCTATAAAAGGTGTTACGTATGGCAGAATTGCATCTTGGTGTTCCACCGGGATCTTGTCTAGGAGCTTTTCTATCAGTGCCGTCAGAACAAAATTCATATTTGGGGGGGGGGGTGCTTTCCATTGTATTCCATCTCATTCGGTACACTGTTATAAAGGAAAGCTACTACTGTTTGACAATTAATGGGGGGCACCAGCTTTGTCCTGTCTCTTCTTTCTTTCCAGTCTTGACAATATCCATCCGATTATGTTTAGGCATATCTATGTGTTCCTTTACCTTTAGCTAGATAACATTGGCTCTGTTAACTTACAGTTTCTGCAAAGCACTGTAAAAGATGAATGTAAACGAATGTAGGCATAAAGCTAGATCAACATTAAAAGGCTTATTTCCTATTGGATCCGATTTAGCTTTCAGAATTGTAGAGCAATATCACTCAAATGCTTGAATATTCTATTTGTTTCGATTTAAGAATGGAATTTGGTTACATTTTTGTCGCGCTATAACCCTGGGATTTATAGACAAAGTCTAAGTCCACATCTAGTAAGAAAATATGCTATCGTAAATAGGTTTAGTGAAACTGCCTGGTTTAGTGCATACACAAAACTGTTTCACAAACGTGAAAACTAATGCTAAACGTCAAAGAACAAAGGTAAAAGACCAGTTGTATCCATCAAGAAGACTCAGAAAGCGTAAAATGTCAGAGTAGAAAGTCAGCTGAAAATGATGAAATTTCCCAAAGAATTGCACAAGGAGACCTGCAAACTTCATATCTCGTGGGTGGATGAGGTTTGGATATATTATAAACTTTCCGCTGATATATGGGCATATATTCCATGCTTGAGGTTTGACAATTTCCCAAGAAATCACTCGAAACTTAAACAAAGGTAATTAAAATTCAAATTGCAATCTATTCGGTAATATTCATTTTAAAAACACGGTATTACGGTAATATCAAAATATTCTTGCGGAGTTACGGTACAAGGGAAATTTTCTTGCTGAATCACGGTATTTGATACCACCAAAGGCCCCCCTAGTTTGGATGCCTGCAAAACCCCTAATATTGTTACACACTGGATACAGCTAGGCTGTAAAGACAAAATAGAAGCAATATTAATATCTTCTTTAAATTGGTGACGGGCTTCCATCGTTACCCCCATTTTTTTCTCCGCTAACACAAAATGTATCTGCAAATAGATAATCACATTTCAATATTTGCCATATTACGTGTCTCACTTTTACCAAGATGTTAAAAACCCAGGTTGTGCGAAAACTGTATCAGCGTCATTTTACGGATATCTGGTCGTTTTTCTATCTAGCTGTTTCAACAGCTATCTGAATAAAAGTAATAATATTTGCAGACAATCTTTTGATGGTACAAAACTTAAAAATCGCAGAATTGATGCAGAAACCTTAACATGTTTGGTAGTACGGGGAGTTATCGGTATCAGTTTTTGAAATATGTGCGGAACTATGGGTACCGTTTGAAGAAACATGCAGAATTATGGGTACCATTTTGGGAAACATTGGGAAAGTATTAATAGGGAGCGTTGACATTAACAGAATGAATGTGCAGCTAGAAATCATGTGTATCAAATATGTATAATATTCAGATTTTGGGGCAAAGGAAATGCAAAATTCGTTTGATGATTTTGTTGTGCTTTAAAATGTACGTTAATTGCTTTCCAGAATTATGGGTATAGTGTTCATCGTGTTTGCGGAATTATGGGTCACATTTTTCAGAAATTTCTCTCAATTTTTTTTTTCTTTCTAATTCTTCCCAGCGGTTTCAAATTGGACGCCTCAATTTCAGCTCCCAATCAATCATAATTTCTAATCTCCTCGTTGCGATTGCCGATCGAAAATATTGTGAACTGTAAAAACTTCCAATTAACGTTCCTGCATGGGTTATAAAAATTGAAATGAAAAATACCTCTTCTGAAAAAGAATTTATGACATTCTTGCATACTCTTCAGTTCCATTTATTGGGCTGACATCAACATATTCGAGTTTTTTAATTTCTATGATTGCGCTCCAGATAATTTAATTATGAAGATAGAAATAACGTACAGAAAGTGTTTCATTCTATGGACTGGGATTTGATACTCTTTTCTGCCAACGAATCTCGTTTTAGGTTCTATTTTGTTCTATTTCAAACCCAGCCTCCTTTTCAAATTTTACCGCCATATTTTATGCTGGGCAGAAAGGAAGAATGTAGTTTGTAGAGCAAGCTTCAACGAAATCAAAAACACCGTGTCAGAAATGAATCATCAGCCAGCATCAAAATTTGTTGTTCTACCAAAGAACTCAGTTGGACTATATGCCGAAAGTGTTGGGCATGCAAATCTGCCGGAAAATATCCTTGCTAGCCTTTCAGAAGATGTGACATTCAGACTCAGGGAAACGATAAATGTAAGCCTTAGATTGATTTTATTTTAGACGTTCCACCACTAATGATATCTTTGTCTAGGTAGTTCTCAACTGTGCATTGTAATGTGTTGCGTGCCGTCGGAATGAAATACATTTGGGGGGGGGGGGGTGCCTATGATATTCCTTCTCATTCAGTACACAGTCATAAAGGAAATATATTGCAGTTTGTTCTTTTGTTGAAAGAGTGATTCAAAAGTAACAGGTTGTTAAATGCATCAGATTATTATATATAATTATTTCTATTATAGCCTGGCTCTAATCCGGGTTGGAAAGTTTGTTTTATGCACAAGGCATAAAATACTTATGTCAAAAATTTGCCCACATGAAAGTGTAAAAATTGCAACCATATTGGTAACGTAAAATTGTCACCAAAACTGAAAACCGCGCTTTGAAAGTTTTTTTTTGCACATCACACCCAGTTTTGCACATCTGTGCGCCCAGCTTTTCCTGTGCACATGGAAGAAATTCTTTGTGCAGTACAAATTTTTTAACCCAGGCACTAATCACCAAAATCAAGTGATAAGAACACGTCAAGTCATAAAACCAAAAACTTTCTTCAGAAAGAATTCAGCAAAATTTATTGTCAGATATCTATTTTTGTTTTCAAAAAGAAACTTAGAGGTCAAGGAGGGGATAACAGCTATCTCTCTTTGCCATTGCACAAATGAACCACCCTATACACATGCTTTCAAATATGCTTTCTAGAAATCTGGTAATTATTGACTTGTCTGTATGTCCCTTGTTCTACCAAGAGCAGATTTTGGAAGACACAGTCTATTTGAAGAAAAGAGGGCCTAATTTAAGAGAACTTTATCATGTTTCTATGTTGTATTTATGTCCTCCACAATGAAAAATTTCACAATTTCAGTTTCTCTTTGTTTCCATTTTCAGTTAACTAGCTGTCAGCAAACATTGGGTTTCAATAGTATTTCATACACATTTAGTTACTTAATATAGACTTGCCAATTTGCAACAATAAGCCAGAAAAAACAATATTTGCAATAGCGATTCTACTTGCATTTGAATTTCAGGCCCTAAAGTTGCTAACCTCACACATAGGCTGCATCTGAAATATGAGGCTTAGAAAATACAAGAAATGAAATCAGGGTAAATATATGGCTTGTAACTGGGTTTTCAGGCTAATATAAATTTTTTCCTTTTGGCATTTTTGATTATCTTTCTCTTCTTTTATAGAATGCATTAAAATTCATGAGGCATAGCAAGCGAAGATACTTAGCAACAGATGATTTTAATAAAGCTCTCAAATGGAGTAACAGCCCGGTAATGATTATTACATATTGCTATTTTGATAGTACTTTCATTTTTTTATAATTTGACCAATATTTTGTTTCCTTTTGCTATAGATGATAATTTGGATTTTATAATACCAAAATTCATGTCTCTTTAGAATTCTCTTTAAGAATCATGGGACTCTCTAGCTTTTATTTTGTGACACAGAGAATAGAGTACCGAAGTGATGACATCATACAAATCTATTTTTAGAGTTTCTGAATTTTGATCCCAGAACCTAAAAGAGCATCATGAAATACCTCTAAAAATGCAAAATCAGTTAAAGGCATCATGAATTGGCTTAGATATGGCCACATGAGCACAGGCTCTTGCCCCATCAATTCTCTGTCATTCGGTCTTGGTTCAGAACTTTATGAACCAGGCCAGAATAACAGTAATCCGTTAGCAAACTTGAAATCTTTCATTGGCCATATCTCACCCAGTTTGAAACATATCTAACTAATTTTGCACATTGAGAGGTATTTTATGCTGTTCTTGCAGATTGTGTGGCCAAATTTAAGAAATTCTAAAAGTAAATTTTTGGTGACGTCATACTATAGTACTCTATTGTAAAATTGAGCAGGTCCAATGTTGACAAACATGAGGAAGCCCTTTAGATAATGAAGCTTTTGATTTCGTTTGTAATTGGTCTTAAACAAAGCTTCCTATTGACTGGTTTTGTATTGTGTGCAAGCATTGTTACAGTTTTTGTAGCCACTTCAAATATTGTTGAACCAATTTTGCCAAGGTTGCAGTTGTATCTGGGGATTGTTCATCTGTTTGCAGTGCAATAATTCTGCGATAGAATAGGCTGTTATGTTATGTTGTTTCATCATTATTTGGCACAGCATGATAACAAAGGCATCAAGAAATCTGAGAATTTCAGCTTTCTGAGATAATAGTAACTTTTGTTTTAGCGAAAGATGTTAAATATCACAGTCTTTATAAACATATAGTGTTTTGATTGTATGAATAACCCAAAAACTTGTGTTAAATATGTTCAATAAGTTAGGCTTTCAATGAGAAGTTCAAAAAAATAAATTGAAAATATTTGCAGATTTATGTACCATGCAATTATGAACCACAATATGCGCTATGTTTCTGTTGAGCTATTCAAGTTCCCATTATTTGCAAAACCTTTTTCTGTGTCCATTCTTATACCAGAAAGCATGTATCATTTTTATGCAAGAAAGCATCAAAGTCTTTTGCTTTTTAGCATTTTTGATGAATAAAACAATTGATATTTAAGAAACTGTCATAAGCAAGATACAACATACAGTATTCTAGAAGGAAATCTCCAAATCTTGCAAGGAAAGAAAGTAGTGTTTACTAGATTGTGAATGCTTTTCCTTGTTTCAGACTGTCTATGGACAAGGTGGTGTGGATGTACCAAGCTTTAGGTCATTCAACTTCAAAGATTCAACAATCTCTTTCACTGAAGATAAGGACACAAATCTTAGAGAAACTGCTTTTGATTCAACTCTTCCTGCTGATCCTGGTGAAGTTTCTATTAAAGGTATGCTAAAATGATACTTTTGTGAATCTGCCAAGCAGTATATTTAAAAATTTTTTGACTAGAAATAAGATATTCTCTGCATTCAAATTTCTTTCTCTCCTTAAAGAGATCAAAATGCTTTTGTGTAATATTAATTTTTCCAACCACCAACTGTTCAAAAATGGAAAGAAATGTTGGGTTGCATTTAAAAAAAACAGAGATCCCATCCTTAGTCAATATATCAGACACAGTCTGTCTGTACCACTTTTTTGTTTAGCATGAATGAAATTATTGTATTGATGCCATGCAATGTTACTGGATACATCCAAGTTTCAGTAGACTGTTTGAAGAAGAAAATAAACTGACATTTCCTCCTGCAAAGGAGGATTTGACACCAAATTTTGCATATAGTAATTCTCATGGTTTTTACCATTGGGTATAGAACCTCCATCTAGTAATGGTTTGTACCTTGCCCTGTTTCCATTTCATACCTTTCCGATTGATGAGTACCAGCCGTGTTACTCTTCATTTGACTGTCACTTTCTTGCTGTATGGTTGGCTGTAACTTCAGGTCATAAACTTGTTTAAACCTTTACAGCATTAATACCCTAATTTATCTATTAGGAAGGGAATTAATCCAAAGATTCTTTGAAAATAATTGCCAGAAATTTGGCAATCTACCATTTTTCCTTGAATACATTAACCTGTTTGTTTTGATAATTGTTTCTATTTCTTGTAGCACAATGGTTGGTTTTTGAAGGTCATAATTGTTCTGGAGGCAAGATTTTGTTTATCAAATTTGCTATTTTCTCTTATTTTTTTGGACTGCTGATATCATAAATGCATTAAACTCATGCTAGGCGAATAAGTTAGTTAAATCTGTTTGTTGTTTCCTTTGTGTTTATCATAAAGCAATATGTTTATTGTTTTACCCTATTTATGTTCATAATTCTTATTGTTAATTCCTGTCATTATTTTATTTAAGGAAAACAAAGCAAAGAGGAAATCCCAAATAGAGAAGAACTTGAAGAGGTAAATTTTATTTAAATTTATTTTTGTATAAGTCTTAAAAATGCTAAAAAAATGTCCGCTCTCTCACTCACTTATCCAGCAATAATTTATTTACATAAGCCTGGGCATTTGTTAGTTCTTACAACATAAACCATTTCCACTTGAACTATTCTACAAAAGGTATGGAATTGGGCAGGGCAGAAGATGATGATGTTATAAAGTACTTAATGCTAATATTGTTTTTGTTTGAAGCTGCAAGATTAAAAGCAGTATTTTGTATATGATTGAACTTTTTTCTTGCTTACAGCCATTTGCATCTTATTTGGAGCAGATAATTTTGTCTGTGTTTGGCACAAACCTGAATGCACGAAAGGTACCTTTACTTTGAACAGTTTTTTCTGTTGTAAGTTCTATTTAAGCTGCAGTCCAGACTGTGTACTCTTTCCATTTTTAAGCCAACAGAGGAAGTGAACTAACAAAACTAATCCCAATATGATGATCTGTAAATTTGTCATGTTTTGGTTCAGACCAGAGATTTAGATCACAAATCTTTTGAAATGCTATCTATTGACATATTTTTTGTTCACAGATCATAGTGTGATGCTTCATCAGATTCTGTTTTACCATTTATTAAGTCCCAACAGAGAATCAAAACTAGTTTAAAATTGTTTCTCATCAAGTTAATATATGATACACCCACAAATGTGTGTCTATCTTCATGCTTTTTAAATGTTTGTTATGAATGTATTGTTTCTTAAAGGTTGCGCTTGATAATATTCGTACAAGTGGCAAATTGCAGAGCATACTGCCATACATGGTAACGTTTCTCGCAAGCCAGGTATGCAAAAATATTAAGTTTTCAAAAGTCTTTTCGGATTTTGGTAAGAAATTTGGAAAGCTGTCTGAGAGCTGATAGTATCAATTTAATCAATTTTTTTGGGAATCAGTTTTTTGATCAAAGATCATAACAGGATTTTAAATTCAACAAAATGTTTCTAAAGGCCCTTTAAGATTTATCTGTTATAAGTCAAATTTTCATTTTGTTCTTGATGTTTTCCCAAAAAGATTTGATTAGTACGGACGTTTTACTTCGCCATGTTTCTCCGGTTGTCGTAACTACTGCAATACTCAAATTTGATCTTATTACGAACATTGTCATAGGAGAGATGTCTGGAAGCGAATAATGTGCTATTGCTTTAGCTCTTCAATAACTATTTTCCTGAAAAACCCTGACCTCCGAAAGTGCACATGTTTGGAAAGTGCTCGGAAAAGAACAAAGACTTTTGCAATGTGATTATCGTGTATTTCAATTGTTCTGTAAAAGCAATTGATGTCATCAAATGCATCTTATGTGTCAATGACGTGTGTTAGATCAGCCCAACATGAAGTGATGTTGTGTGCACACCTTCGTTATCACTGAGTAATTTATTTATAAAGGTAAAGTCGTGTAGTGGAAGTGAAGGCTTGAAGACGATCGTAACAGGAGTTCTGTTGATTGTTCATTCTTTGGTTGAGAACGCTCTTCTCTTTTTGGTGCCTTATGTAAGTTGTGCACTTTATTTCAACCTTCCTAGTTGAGTACGTGTGATAGGAACGGCTTCTTTTTTATCGAAATTTGTTTTTACTATATGTTTTATACAAATGATATCATACAAACAATTAGCAGATGAAAATGTTTGAAAATGATAGATTAAATAACATTAGTAACTCCTTTGAACAAAGCTCGCTGGCCTCAGCCCGATTGTAGTTAATTCACCCCATCTTATCATACATTGGATCAACCTTTAATTTATCTTCACTTATATTTTCAAAATCCAGGTTCTTCAGCTCGTCAAACTGTTGCTGTTTATTATAACCGATGAAAATCTGCCAGTTGAATTTTGGGACAGCAAGCTGACTGCTGCACGAATCTTGACTCAACTTTGCAGGTATTACTGCAAAATTTAGAAAGCCCTTATAATAGTGTTAGATATAAGATCAGAAAAGACACTCTCCTCACTTGAAATTATAATTATTGGTAAAGCTTGGTGGAAGCTATCAGTGGAAACTTTTCCTATCGGCAAACTATGTTTCATTTGTTGGAAATCATGTTTCAGCTTCTGGAAGGGCTTAGAGATAATGGTTTAGATGTTTGAAGCTCCTTTCCATCCATATTTAAGTCTTTGGAACCTCTTTTAGCTACAATCCATGTTTCAGTCTTTTGAATCCTCTCACGACTACAAACAAGGTTTCATTTGTCGTAAACCCTGCCAGCTTTGAACCATGTTCCAGTCATTGGAATCCCCTCACGGCTACAAACAAAGTTTCAGTTGTCGTAAACACTGCCAGCTTTGAACCATGTTTCAGTCATTGGAATCCCTGCAGGCAACAGACCATGTTTCTGTCGTTGGACTCTGCTTCGTTGCATCTGACATTGTGAACGGACACCGTGTTTTGTCTTTCATTTTAATTGAGCTTGACGTATACACGAATTGGAGTAAAAAATTCGTGTTCCTTATTTTGAGCTCCGTTCATTTTTTCACAGACAAAAGAAAGGCCAATTTTCGTTTGCCTTTTGGAAACATCTTCTGTAAAATATAAAGTTCTTCAAAACAAGAAATGGATTTTAATATTGTAATTTACAGATCGCAGCGGGATGACTTAAGCCTTTGCCTCAGGGGAACCGTCTTTGCCTTTGAAATTTGTAATTTGATTGGGGAATTGGTCTTTTCGGTATAACAATAAATGAAACGTTTAATCAAAGCGGTATTTTATTTTCTATTCGCTAGCTTATGTAGAGAGTTTTGAAATCATTCGAAAGCCGTCCCTGATTTGTTAGGATTGCCTCAAATTAACAGAACTGTAAGTTTTTAAAAATGTTTTCTCCAGGCGTCACATGTCAACAATGAACTACTTACCGCACCACCTTCTAAAGGCCTACCAAGAAACTGTCGCTGACGAGACAAAGCCGCTAGCTTCTATTTACGGAGCTGCGTTTGGAATCTCTTGCCTTGGTGCCGAGGTTTGTACAATTTTCATCAATACACTGTGTTGCTAGCTAACATTTTACTTCGCACAGGAGTCTTAAGTATTCATAGGAAATAAGACTTCTCTCTGAAAAATGTAAATTTTAGATAACATATAGGTAAGCCAGCAACTTGGATCGACGCGATTTCCCAAAGACTTCACATCCATTCGTCGAAATGTTAACATAAATTGTTTTTTTTAAAACATTTGCATTTTCAAAACGTTTTGTAGTATGAGCGTTTCATATCTATGTGTATAAATCAATTATTTGACTTCTTCTCAAGCGAGTATTGGAAACAAATATTCTCGGGTGTCAGATTTTGACATCTTAAATGAATACATTCAGACTATGTTTGCTTTCCAGTGCCCTTTCTTTGAAAAAAGAATCTTTTGTTTTTATGAGCTCTGTCCCTTGTAGAATGGAGTCTACATATTATCATATTTAGATAAAAAGTATTTTGAATGTTTACCACAAGTAACAAGGCATTGGGAATCTATGCTAATTACAGGCCATCTGTTCCGCCTCATGATGCGATGAAGCCACATAATTCAACCTTGTCGAATTACAATAATATGGTGACTTTTTAAAGTCTAGCTTCGAGTTAATCCTTCAATTTTCCGCAATGAAGTTATTTGTAAATCAATAAACTGCAAATAATTTTTGTGTAGGGGAAATTTTACGTGAACGACATTCAATAACTTGTCTCGATGCTGAGTTCAAAGCTAGAATTAATTTCTTTCATGTAGCTTTTAAGCAATCGTCAGAAGATAGGGCTAATTTACTATGACTGAATTTGTTGTCCTGCAGCCAGCTCATCAGATAGTGTACCCTATATTACTGAAAAGGATTGAAAGCATCAAAGAATCTATCAGCTACTCAAAGGACTTGAATCTGGTAAAAGAGTCACTCGTTACTTACGCACTCTTTCAGGTAATCATCTGTGCTTTTAAGTTTAATTATCTATAATCCGGCAAAAGATCTTCAAAGGCTTGCTGTAGCCTGTACTTTTAGCGACTATTAGTAGCTTATGAAGCATGGTCAAAGCTGGCTCTTAGGTACATCCTAATATCTCTATCTTGCACTGCTCTTTTATGCTGAAGAAACATTCACATTGTTACTATTCCGTTCGACTGGACCGAAGAGCTCTTTTAGTTCTAGTTTGTGTTTCACTGTAAATTTTAAATCACTGAGTATTTTGACATATTATTATCGAGTACCGAAACATTCTAAAGAGCTCAGTTTTTGTATTTTCATATGTAGATTATCTGTTCAATTTTGGTTTATATTTTCTTTCGTAGAGGATATCTTTATTTTTACTTCGAACTGCTATTCTGTCTCCTGCAAATTCTACTGTCAACAAAACCGGTCGATCTTCTGGCAGTAATACGGTAGTATCAACAGGACTTTTATCATCGCACAAATACTTAAGCATTTATAATGAAGTCTTTGATTACTTTACGGAAGGCTTGATAGCTCACACCCAGTGTCTAAATGCGCCAGGCACCAATCCTAGAAGCATTTTTAACCCTTTCAAAGCAGCAAATACCAAACAAACTAATCTCAAACAAGGCAACAGTCCTGGATTACTGAATCAAGACAGACTGAAATCAGAACTAGCTGCCAATATAGGTGGCCTGAAAACTGGACGCGTTGCAAAACCTGCCTTCATAAAAGAAGTATCGACAAGTTCCCATATAAAGATGTCTTTACAGACAAGCATTGGCGTGGTTGGTAGTGACTTCAGGTGGCGAAAGCGTAAATTTTCCAAAGATGTGAACGTATTTGGTGCAGAAGATAACAATGACAAGTCTGATGGACCAACGCAAATTAAAAGGCCAAAACCATCAATTTCTAAGACTAAAACTTCAAGTGAAGTGAGGCGAAAGAATGGTGGAGAGGCTGAAATCGAACTAAGTCGGCTAAGCAAGAAGACCCGGCTGCGTTTGATTGACTTGGCAAAGATACCAGCGACTGTAGCAATATTGATCTAGTGCTTTTTAATCGAGCAAAAGCAATATGGTTCTTTCTTTGTATAAAGCAATAATTATGTTAAATTTAGTTTAAACAGAAAGTTGTCTCTGTACCTTAGATATTTGGCTCCGGTATTGAACCTTAAATATACGGCTCCGGTATTGTTTTGGATGCGGTATTGCTTCTCGAATATTCATGCTAAATGTACCCGATAGGAGGGAAATCGGAAACGGTGGAATCGGTGGTTGGGCATTTATCCTGAAGGCTGGGCATTAGTCCCTCTCCTGATCTTGCAAACATTAACCACATTTCTGCCTCTTTGCTAAGCCTCAAGTTTTCCTGCAAGCCTCTTGTCTGGAGCCCTTGTTAATTATTGCTTATTGTTATTGCTTATTGATGATTATTGATTAGTGTTAGTGTACTCATGAATCCGGTCCTGAGGGCGGCAAGGGAGAGTGCTTCTTTAACACCGACTCTAAGTTGGTTCCAAAGCTTTGGTCCGCGAAAAGAATAAACTCCTTTGTCCATTATTAGTTTTCTACAATGGTAGCGAAATGACAGTTAAAATGGCATGTAGCTTAAATATTGATTATGGCATAAGTTTTGCGGTTTAAAGAAAATTGCGACCAAAAATTCAAACTTTTATCTTCCTTACCACCGTTGTTTTGTCTTGCCAATTTTGCCCGTCGATTAAACAAATTCCAACACGAGGAAAGTTTTATCAAAGAAGTTAACAATTTTCCCATACATTCCGAGTCTGTATTAGTTTATACCATTTGTGCAGCTGCCATTTGCCTTTATTCGATCTAGTGTTATCAACAATTTTGTGCTTGAAAAGCTAGAATTAGATGGAAAGTGTGCTATCAGTCCACGTGGCCAAACCAAGTATAGCAGAATTTTCAAAACCAGCAGATGATCGCAGTCAAAAACTCAATTTCCTTTTTGATGTTTAAGTTTCCAAAGAGCATTATTTTTCACCTCAGATAGTACAGTATCTTTTTCGCCATGATTTATTTTATGCAACAGATTTTTTTATGTTTTTTATGTGAAGCTTTCTTATGTTTTAAGGCTTGATTGACAATTTTCACTGTTTTTATTTTCAGCTCTGAAGCGTTTAGTATTTTTCCAGTGTTTGGTTTCCTCCTCCTCACAGTTATTTGCAGCACTCGTAACACCTTTTCCACATATTCCTTTGCAAGTAATCTTCCTATGTCGACAGCATAGAGCAAATAGCATTTGGAGTTTTCAGATTTATCTAGGAGGAAGAATCAAGGATAGAATTTAGAGAATTTAAAGTTTTAAGAGTTTGGATAATGATTTGCAGTGTGAAATGAGCATCTCTTTAGTGCCCACAATAAATATATTCCAGAATCGAGCCAGAGAGAAACTGTGGACCTCCTTTGAACCAAAGCATTTGAATTACGACCAGTACGATTTAACAATGTATTGCAGTTACGAGAATTTTCACAGTCTAGGCCTATTTTTCGAGTTCAATTCCAGACCTATTGAAAATGCAAACTAAATGGCAATACAGAAAAGACCAATTAACTAACAGGCAAAATTGCACGAGCAAGATTTGCAAGTATGCATGTGAGTGTAGGGACGATATCATTATGGTGCCAATGGTATGTTTATTAATATACACCTGTTATTTTTCCGCATATCTTTAGAACGTGAGCCTCAGGAATTCAGAAGTGTTCTTTTTTCTCAACAATACTTGTATTAAGAAATGGCATTTTAGTTGGATTCGATGAATTAAACACAAGACAAATTTTCACAAAGCAGAAAAAATCGTTCTCTCTCCATTTGAAACATCAAATTGGTATGAATGTCGTTTCCCTTTTGCTTCGCATTATTTTTTTCCTAAGAGCATTTATCAGTTACCTAAAGTACCTAACGCACGCTTCATGAAATACTTCATCTCAATGTAATGTTGAGAATTTTGAAATGTTTTAAAACACAGGGTCTACCTAATGCGTCACCAGGCTTTTTCTCGCTGTTTTCCCATCAACTTTGTTATCAACATAACCTACAGCAAATCCTGTCTGCAAATCTATCCTGTTTCGTAGGCTTCTGTAGCTAGACTGAACCAGATGCTTATTTAAAATGTGCTTCATATCGTGTTGATGATATCAAGAAGCATGAAGTTTCATGATATTTTCTACTTGCTGGTTTTTGTGAAAAAATGTGCCTATCATTGTTTCTCCTCTCGAGAAACATACCACCTTCCAGTCTGTGTACTGGCAAGTGGGACGAAAGTTGATCGCCTTTATATGAACATTTCATACCATATTCCAGCTTCATCCCACCTTCCAGCGTTTATATGGAAAAAATTCGACCCACCTCAGTGAGATCCCACCTCTCGTGCAGTATTTTCCAAATAAATGCAAGACGAAATCTATAGAACAACATGATCTCACCTCTCAGCTCACAGGCTAGGAGGTGGGATGATTTTAAACATGCCCTGATAAGGATGTATAAACGCAAATGCTAAAGATTTATGCATTAGAGGATTTAAGATAAACCCAGTTGTGGATCGAAATAGGCCAGTTGGAAAGCGAGCACATGACTGTAAAGATTAGAGGGCCTAATTGAAAGGTAAATGCAATATAATAGAAGCCGTATACATTTACGAACTTTTCTCATCAAACTGCCATATGCTTTGAGGGAACCGAATATGATAAGACACACTATTAACACCTGAATTTTGTAGTCAGTGATGTTATTTCGTCTCTGGAAGTATTTTTGCAGTTTGAATGGCTAATTCTTAGGGTTGTCTATCGATTTAATATGTTTAGTTTCAATTGATTTGTTAGCAGATGTCCTTCATCTGTAGAAAGAAAGAATTCAACTTGATATTAATATAATGCCATTAATGTTAAATGGTGAATTTTTAAAATCTAGAAACGATCATTGTTTTGTTTAGGCATCATCATCATCTTGCAAGGTAACATGCAACAGATTTGTAGTTGAAACATTTACAAAGATTTAATGGTTTTTAAGTACCTTTGAAAACTTTGAAAATCTATAGAAAATCCTTAGAAATCTCCAGGAATTCAACAGGAAATCCCGAAATCTCTTCCATAGCAGTAAAGACATTTGATGATAATTTCGATTTGAATCTGGCAATATAAGAGACTCACTAAGGTGAGAACTGAAAAGCCTTGCACGACCTACCCTTTACTCAAATGCAAATATAGCCACTGATAAAACAGTTATGATCCCGAGTACTACCACAAAGTTATCTTGTAGGTCTTTTTCTAGTTTTGAGTTAATTTTTCTCGTAGTTTAATTTGACTTAAAAATCATGGTTTTGAGACTTTCTCTTCTTCTGGTATTTGTCGAAATATCATAGGATCATTCTAAAATGACATGATATGTATTTACGTGAATGAAGTCTGCAAAATTTCAGTTTTAAACTCCGTCGTACGACAAGTGACATTTTTTTATCGTCTCCCCACCTCCCTCCCTTCATTCAATGTATTTTACCACGGTGGAAAGACAAGCGTGAACATGTCAAACTGTTGTCAATCGATTCTGGGAAAGTAGCTTCTTGCCTGTTTGCTGTCGAATTATGGCACATGTTTGTTCTGTTAACAAGTAAGCCGAAGATTTTTTTCTTGACGGTAAAAACTCTCTTTTGATATTGATTGCGGTATTTCCCCTATTGCCCCATTAATCATTCACCCATTTGCAGATAATTAGTGGTTGAAGGACCAAAGGCTACACCTGCCTAAGGTTTTTTATTATCCAAAACCATGCAGATTCCCATGCGATTTTGACATTTTTTGACGTTATTCACGTTTTCATATTTCTTCCTATTTTTAAAGCCTCTTCTTTTTAGTCCCTGTCTTGCCAGCAAAGGCTGATTAGCAAACAAGCTGTAAACCAAAGTGCAAGGCATCTGCTTTCTAAGTGCACGGCATCTGCTCTTAGCTTGAGTGCGTGAAAACTGCCGAACAAGAAAAATGGAAAAACATTTGCTGTTTGGATCTATTGAAGCCCTCTATGTCACATCTTTTGTTAGATTTCAGAGAGCTCTGTTAATGACAAACTTTGACAAAAACTCGGAACACTCTGTACGCTGCTTGAACTTGTTTTGATATTTTGAAATTTTCTTGAGGTGTTTACCATCTCCATAATTATTTGGCAATAACCAAGGAAAAACTGAATTGAGGGTGCCATTGTGATACTTGCTATAACATGAAGTAGAGCACCCAGACCATCCTCTGGACTCTAAATTTGAAAATCTTTGCAAAGAAGTAAAGAGCAGGCAAATTGTGAAGGGCAAACGTAACCGATAGCTATAATAAGAGATCCTAGCAGCCGTAGCATTCTAAGGGCAACGTCAACGAAGCATTTTTGATCAAGCACAATTTAATGAAATTTTTGTCTGTTTTATAATGGCAAATTGCCGGGAAGTATCCCTGTCAGGATGTCTGCTTTCTTTCAAGACAATATTTGCTTGAATTTAGGTTCTAAAGAAAGAAATGTGAAAATAATATGGTTGGTTGTATGGAAATGAAAGTTTTGACAGATGTTGAGAAAACAGCATTTGCTTGGGTGTTGAATTTGGCCATAAAAATGGATTGAGATCAATGTTTGTTTTAGATTTGGGGGTATTGGGGACAGGTAAAGCGTTTTCTTGGGCCACCCCCATTGACTTAAAGCCAAAAAGCACAACTAAATGCACTCTGTTTTTGAAAACTCAGTTGAATCCATAATCGATGAATGGCTGCATCAAGGGTCACCCCTAAACCTATTCATATGTTCTTTGGTCAACAGTACGCTAATATGAAAAGTCGGGGGGGGGGGAGGGCACCGTTCGCACATGGCTCTTTCATGAGGACCAGCTGCGAAGAATAACTACAGGGAAATATGATAAAATAGATGACAATCTTAGGACAAAAAGACTTACGTTTACTTTGAATTGTTTTGCATTGTACAATTTGGTATTGTATTGAATTGTGTATTGTACTGTATTGTACTGTATTGTACTGTATTGTACTGTATTGTACTGTATTGTACTGTATTGTACTGTATTGTACTGTATTGTACTGTACTGTATTGTACTGTATTGTACTGTATTGTACTGTATTGTACTGTATTGTACTGTATTGTACTGTATTGTACTGTATTGTACTGTATTGTACTGTATTGTACTGTATTGTACTGTATTGTACTGTATTGTACTGTATTGTACTGTATTGTACCGATAGTCGATTGCAATGTTAAGTATATAGTTTCGTACTTACATTGTATCAATTCGATAAATATTGATATTTTATTGTAGTTTAGTTTATTCATTTGCTTTATTTAGATAATAATAATAATTCTATATTGACAATTTAAAATATGAAACTGAAACTAAAACGGTAGTTATTTAGAAAGAAGATGCTTTTAAACGTATTATACATTAAACTGTGACGAAAAAGAGGAGGCAAATGTCTAGAAATATATACCATGCGCGACTTTAGTCGAGAATTAATTGCAGTTTCCATTAGAAATTTGCAAAACTTTTAGCCGCCCACTGTCAATTTATGGAGCTTAAGGCTGGGACCTAAGAAACAAAGAGCATGATTTTGGTAGATAGAACAGAGATAAAAACATTGTGAACAGAGATCTAATGATAAAAAGTTGATTATCAGAATATCGTTATGAGTTAGGGTAAAATTTGAAGAGTAAAGCAAATTTAAATTGTTGGATCAGTTGGAAAATGTAGAAGGATAAGAAAACATTGACCCGATAACAGAAGGGTTGAAATTACGTTGAGCGAAAGAAGATCAACAAGAATTAGAAAATAGTGGTTGGTTGAGCAATCCAGTGAAAGCTGCTGGAAAAATCTGTATAAAAAATGAGATGGAATAGTAAGAAAATAAAAATATATGCAGTTTTAGCTCAGCCTGGTCAGAAACGCTGATGAAGTTTTCCAAGAGGGAAATAAACGCCGATGAAGTTGTGAATTTGGGATAATAATGGCAACTATTCTAAAAGCTTACTTTAGTATAAGATATATTTGCAAATTTTCCAAGCAATCTTTGGTTTTTTTTGGCGTGATGGGGGCATGATCCCTACCGCTCTCTTAGCATGGACTTGGCATGATGCGTGCTTCAAACAAAGATAAAGCCCTCAAAGCATTAGTGTCGTGCTTAATTTTTTGGACGTACACATTTGAAGTGACTCCTAGTACTAGATAGTATTAATCGTCTGAACTTGACACTGGGCAGTAATGATTAGTTAGATCCTACACTGTTGAAATGCAACCTTAACGGCCAGATTTTTCTCGATATTGGCGAACAGCAAAAAAGGCAGTCCATTTCAGTGGCATAGAAAAAGACACACCCCTTTTCCCCTCGTCTCAGTGCTTTGTACCAGGTTACTTTTCCTTCGGAAAAATGATCTACCCCTACCTAGCGCTTTTAAATCCATTTTTAGAAGAAATGTGTTGAACATGTTTTGATGAAAGCGGGGGGGGGGAATTACCCCCTCATACCCTATTCCCGCCGCCACTGGTACATTTTCTTCATTTAAAACTGCTACAAAAAACTGAAGCTGTTAACAGCCGAAGCTCTCTATTGCATATTTGAGTTTGCATGACGTCATCAAAATGGCGGTTCTGAGGTTCTCAAGCACGTGAAATTTAAAGGCTGATAGTCGTAATTTAGATTGCTTTACCTCGATTTTGAATTTTTTTGAGGTTCGTGTTATTCAGCAACTAAAGAATATCATTTGAGCTGATATATTTGCACGCCTGTTCAAAAACCGAGCGTGAGTTGATACCTTTTGCACTCAATCATCACATTTACGGACGGTGTTGCAGTTATCAGAATGTCTGTTTTAGTCGTTTCAAGGAAATGTTGCATCCAGCTTTCTCAGATCGGAAAGTTATGTGAATGGGTGCAAGTATTTCTGGCAAGCCATATTCCGAAATTTCAAAGCGAATAGTTCAATAGAGAGACAAAAATTATATCGGGACGTTTTCGATGTAGCTTTATACATGGAAGTTAATAAATGCGTTAAAACGATAGATTCTCATTCCGTGATCAGAGTAGCTCTTGGAAATCGAATACATATCAAGGCAGCTTCGATGTTAAACAAGTCAACATTAAAAAGGTTGTGCCGTGTCTGCCAACGCGTAATAATCCTGCGGACTCACACCTAGACCCCCTCCTCCGCACGCTCCTGGTACCAGCTGCTTTTCTTCGCCTTCCTTTAAAGACACTCTGTGCTTATTGATTATTCTATCACTAGTCATATCGACTTAAAAACTTAAGAATATCAAAAGTTACCCTGTAGATGGTTGTCAATGCGGATCTCAATAGGCAACCAATAACTTCTCAATCATAGCAACTGAAATGACTTTCGCTTTTAGAAAATGACTCAGCATATTTCAAAAGATCTAGTTCTCGGGTTTTTCCTTCAAGCAAGTAAATTGGCCAACCCACGCTCTTTTGGTCCAATGATATTCCATATGAAAAGAACGAATTTCACCCCAGCTAAGCCATTTACTAGCAATTCAAATTCGTCATTTCACAACAGGATCCTACAGGAATCACCTACATTCACTAGAACGGGATCTGTAAATAAGCGACAGTCAGAAGTAACAACTTGGTGATCAGTTTCATTCATTCCTAGCTTTATTTTATTTACTCGATTAGCTGATGTACTTGCTCCTTTTCAAACTGCTCGATAAAACATGCTGACTATCATGTTGACTTTCGAAAAAGTCTATCAGTTGTGCTTTTTGGTAACAAAATATCTAAGCGCACTTTATTTTCCACGAGGCTCTTCAAAAATGTATTCTAGAGTCCATTTTGTTGCTAGTTTGTATGGAATCAGAATTTTTCCAAGACCTAGATACATCAACATTACTTTTCCGTAGGATAAAATCCGCGTTGGTGACGAAATGGTGACATTTGCTACGATATGCTTCTTTCCTTTTCAAAAAGCTGCTTTCAACAAACATTCTAGCTTAATCAACGTAGCTCTAGAACGTCATCTGCAGGTGCTCTTCGATTAACTTTGAAGGCGTAAAAGTTTAAACAAGAAATGCTATAACACTAAAGAAGGTTTAACTCCATTAGAACAACCTAACTATTTACAAAAACTTGCCATTTCGTTTTTTCCTATAGTTTTTCAGCACCTGTTTGTATTATATTTATTTATTTATTTTTTTATTTCTGGTTGTGTTTTGCAAGAGGTTTAAAGAGGCAACAAAAGCTTTGATTTTCATTGTTAAGCTAATCTTGCTGCAATTTGTTCTACTAATTACAGGTGAGATAACAATAAGGCATTAGTGGCAAATCAGAACCTATTTAATGTGAATCTGACTTGTTGTGATCATTTTTAGTAGAGCACTGATAGAGCTTAACCTCTAAAGCTCTTTCTTGATTGGCACCCCATTTTTCCCCTCGCTGTAAAAACTTGGACTCAGATGATGTGACTACTTTTGGTCATTTATGATTATGAAATCCAAAATTTTTTTGTTATTAAGTTCGGTTTTGAGCCTGTTACAAAATTTGCTGACGGAGGCTATGCTTTGATACAGCTAATCAAACTCGTCTACAAATCCAAGTCGAAGCCAAGTTGGTCAGGAATCTTATTATGATTTTTAATAGGGTGAGTTCACTTCCAACAACCATGCTCTCCAACATTTGAATTCTATCAAACATTAAACTTTAAGAGGGTAACCTATTGTTCAGCAAAACAGGTCGTTGCTTTGTTTGTTTAGATAGTTGGGAAAGAAATTATTTAGTTATTTAGAAGTGAACGGGGTTCTTGATAGCTTTCTCGTATAGTAGTACCATTCGCTCGTCTAATTGTCTAGTCTAAGAAAAGTTTGT